CACACAGAGCACATCATAGCTTCTAATTGTGGTTCCACTTGGAACCCAAGGCGAGTTGCAGATTGGTTTCCTGTCGTGATGGCAAAGCACTGCCGCCCAGCTGGACGTGTGAATATGTTCCCTGCTACTGACCATGCTGCCTTGCTCCTTAACTGCTAGGGTAGAATTAAATTGTTCTTCCTGTTGCACTTGTGATGAGAAGTAGATTTCCTTGAATCTACGCTGATTAATGAAGAAACACCGAAAAGCACCAAACTCCAATTTCAATCAGTTGGTCTCCTTATTAAATGCAAAGATCTAATTTTATACTTTGCTGTTTTTCAGATTGATCACCCACTGGCTGAAAATATTGAGCGAGAAGCTTTTCATCTCTCTTCACGTCTCATTAGCGCGCCGTATCGCAGAATGGTGCGAGCTCTTGTCTTCTCATTAAAGCACAGACCTGAAACCAGAGCAGAAGTCAAGGCTGGCGCGCTCACCATCCCCGCGTTTGTGCAGAGCCATAAAAAGTGAGGTGTCGTGCTCAGTGCCGAGCGAGAACTTCGTGTGCCTGCGTCTCTGCGGAACTGGGAGCCCTTTCTGTCACAAGGGGATTGCCGAAGCGCTGACGGCGTGACTCACTTGGCTGAGGACAGGAACTTCTAGTGATGAAAGCAGTGCTTTAAATCTGCGTGGGGTTGCTGCACGAAAAAGTTTCTTCTGCTCTGCTGTGTATTTTCCTGGTCTAAAGCCGCCCCTGTTCACTCACCTCTTTCTGTTGTCAGTTTGTCATACCTCGGTTCAGCTCCATCTCTGACGTGGATCTTCAGGTGTAATTAGCTGAATGGTGAGAAATAGTGGAAAATCGGGGCGATTGCTTCATGGGAGGAGGTTCCTAATGGATAACTGCAAACCCTCATTGATCCTAAATCAGCCAAGTCTGCTGTGGCTGAGCCCTGTTTAGCCAAGCCAGGTGATTTCCCCTGCTTCCACAGTGGGATACAAAACGAATTTTGATGATTTTGTTGTGGATGCCCCATCCCTGGTAGCATCCAAGGCCAGACTGGATGTGACCCTGGGCAGCCTGGTCTGGTGGTTGGTGACCCTGCACATAGCAGGGGGGTTGAAGCTAGACGATCACTGTGGTCTTTTTCAACCCAGGCCATTCTGTGATTCTGTTTTCTATCCATCCTTCCATAGGCTCAGTCATCCTGCAGTGGTGGGCATTTTCTGAAACCCTGGGGTAACAACCGAAATGCCCTGGGGTAAAGGTGCTATCTAATACCTCTGCTTAATGAGCAGCTCGTTCTGACTTCCAGACCTCACTCATGATTGAAATGTGGTGCTTATTCTTAGTGTAACGTTAAAAAATAAACCCCACCTTGAAATGAATTTTTAAAATAGAATTATGTTGTGAGGAAAACATTCCACATCCAGGCTTTTTTTCTCTGTAAAGAGCATGTTTCAGAATGATGGTGTGAATAGATTTAAGTAACAAACTATTGTTTGAATTGCTGCTAGTTATTAAAACCTGGAAACCTTGCCTTTCGTATTCTGGTTTCTTTAGTGCCACAAGTCATCTTGCTCTCTCTATGCTGTTATTAAGGATGTGTGACAGGCACAGTCTTTCTCTAGTGGTGGAGAATAAAGTGCTCTCTGTTCTCTGTGCATGTACAAAGCACTGGTCACAATCCATTTTCTGAGTTAACGGGGTTGAAAGAGTCAAGTGCTGGGATGAGTGAAACCTGCTTGTTCACAGGCATGGGAACTGAAGGGTAATGCAGCGTAAGGAGGTGTGCTTTGATCAGTCGTGGTCAACGCTGACCTCAGGGGAGGCCCTTAAGAACAAATAACGTGGTGTGAAAGTGATGCAGTATTCAGATCTTCATCTTAGAACAGGACTGGGTGTCAGTAAGTGGGTCTGCTGAATACTCCTTTGGACACTACGACATCCAAAGCATGGGTAGGTGTGCTGGAGACAGAACCTGGCAGATGTGAGTGGTGACTGAGGACAATGCATCAGTAAAGACCTGACACTTTATGACCAGTCTGGAGCAAGAGATGTGAAAACCTTCAATTTCTTACAAGTAATCAGATCCATTTCCCACTTAGCTTCAGGCTGTAATTGAATTCACCCAGCTTGGACTGTCACAAAAGGAGTTCAGGATCAATGAGTGTCTTAGGTTTTGTTTCCATAGCTGCAATGCCAATGCCTGCCACATAGAGGAAAGAGATGTGGATGCTTACCAGATGCTATCCGTAGTAGTGCTGTAAAATTTGAAAACAAGGGTCACATAGACATGAACAGGGCTCTACATGGCCAACTCTTCTGGGTGACTTTATCTACATCTCTCTTGGCCCCTGACACCTTTCTTTTCTGAACACACTTGAGGGAGAAGCAGTTGTTGTTCCATCTATTTTGGATGCCTTTCAGCTCTTTGAAGCACACGTTGCAGAGAAGATATTTTTTGGCCTCATTCTCAGTCCATGCTGAGTATTTCTCTTTTGGGAATTAACTCCAGGAGTGCAGAGTTACTGCACACCAGTAAACTCGAATAAATTTGGTCTATTTTATGGCTAATACTTTCACAACAATTTTTCCAAGGGAGCCAAGCGCAGAGCTCTGGGTCCAGCTCTTGCAGGGTGATGTTAAAGCTGCAGGGACACGTGGGATGAAGATTCACTGAGCGGGGGAATTGGGAGAGCTCCCCAAGGGCTGGGCTGGGGAGCTGCAGCAAGCAGGAAGCACAGACAACAGGGGAATGGTTTAAGGACTTCTGAAGAGCAAACCCACAGGTCTGGGAGGCAGCAGTGAAGGAAAGCTTCACAGTGCTGCAAATTGCTGGGGCGAAAGAAGAAGGGAGCAGGTGAGACCCTTCCCTTCCTTCCTGAAAAAGAGAGTGCAGTGCCTCAGCCTTGCTTGTCTTTTAAGAGGCTCTTCAAAGGTTTCTCCACAAAGAACCCAAACTTTTAGATCTCTCTCGCTGTGATCTGAATGCTTTGCTGAGCTGGCCCTGGAAGAAGAGATGCCGAGACAAGGAGCAGCCCCAGATGCTTTCTCACAGCTCCCAGGGCCCCAGCTGCTTCTGGGGGCTGCAGAACCACAGCCCCAGTGTTGCACCAACTTTCCTCTGCAGTACTGCCAGGGTGGCAAACCCAATGCTTGTCTTATAGAACCAAAAAGGAGCTGTGAAGACCCAGCCAGGTGGCTCCTGAACACCCAGCACCCAGATTCAGGGGAAACTGAGGCACAGAGGAGCTCAGGCATCCTGAGGGATGTCACCAGCAGAAGGGCATGCCAGGGTTATACTGCAATTAGCACTGCTCTAAATTCTTCTGCTGGCAACATTTATGGTCCCTGTCAATTAGACTAGATTACAGGATAATCCTTGCTAATTATATATTATTATACACCAAACAGTTATCTCCCTATAAAAGGTGCCCCTATCATGGACAGGCGCTCTTCCCGCAGCACAGCCTGCCCAAACAGCAGGATTGCTTTTGTGCAGCCACTGGTTTGCCTAAACTGAAATTTTCACATTGTGACACCAATGGAGGGAGGAGGAGAAGGACGATGCCTCAAGCCCAGACCCCCCAAACCCACCATAGTGCTGGCTTTGGGAGAGAGCTCCTCCCACAGCCAGAGCCCAGGAGATGCTTGGATAGGGCTGCGGGCAGCACAGATTTAGAGTGATCCTTAAGGCAACACCATCCTTTGAACGTAGCAGCTTCCCGTGTTCCCTGATGCCCCGTTTCATCTCTGCACACCCAATCCCCAGGAGCACGGGGAGGATGACCTCACTGTCCTCTGGGCTGCGACGACCGAGAAATGGGAGAGATGGCTGCTTAAAATAAGCTGGGAAACAACAGCTCCCTGCAAACGCTGTCCTTGCATTTTTAATCGCCCATATGCTGGATCCATTATGCTTCCCCAGCTGGCGGGGCTGGTGGCTGCTGCCTGCTCAGCTGTGCTCCATCGGGTACCTGCAGGGTGGTAAAGGGGTGGCAGTGGGCTGCAGGGTGTGCAGGGAGCACAGATTAGAGGAGCAGAGCTGCCTCACTCCAGGCATTACGTGAGAGAGAAGAAAAATAATGTAAGGAGTTAAAGCAGGTTCAGAGCTGGACTTCATGGCCTTCGAGCAGGACATGACCTTGCTGGGGCCACAGCGTACAAACCCTGAACATGTCCCATTTGGGAACACCTGCATCTGCCCCACCTTTGAGGAGCATTTCCTCTAACAAGCACCTCATCCCTGAAGCAGACTGCTTTCAGCCACGGGATGTGGTGGAGAGAGAAGAAAACAGCCCTGGAGGGAGTTGCTGAAGCAGTGGGGTCTGCACCCAGTCCACTGAAGGAACAAGCTCAGTGCTCAATATGGCATCCCAGGGGTGGGACATGCACGTTTCTCTGGTCAGAAGTGCCAGAGCCTCACCCCCCTTAGTGAAGAGATGAACACAACAATCTTATCAGAATTAACTTACAAGAGCAGCACAGCTCCAGCCCCCAGTTACACCTTTCCTTTCTTCTGCCAGCCCTCTCTGTTAGCTCTCTGTATAGCTCACATACTGCGCTGCATCACTTGTTGCAGCGATGAGCAAACCCCCAGCACCACCATCACCCTCACAGCTCAGTGAGCACAGTGTGCACAGAGCCCCATTGATGGAAAAGGTTGCCCTAGGCCAGGAGGGTGGCAGAGAGCCCAGCACCCAGGCAACTACAAGGGACTTTTGTCCAGCCTGGAAAGCACTGCATGTGACCTGCAGCATCCCATGGACAGGGAGGTGTTCCAGAACCATGGGGATGTGGCACTGAGGGACATGGGCAGTGGGCATGGTGGGGTGGGTTGGATCTCAAAGGTCTTTTCCAGCCCTAATGATCCTTTGAGACATGGTGTAAGGGCATGTAGAAACACCACCCAAAAGCACCCACATGTGCTGTACCCATCACCGCACACTGAGGGGAGATGCTGATGTCTGCAGTACGGATCCACAGTGCCCACACCAGGGGAACAAGGAGAATGTTTGTTACAAATATTGCTATATTTGGGGGTAGTTGCTATGTTCAGGAATTCAGCAGTTGACAGGATTACTTCCAGCCATCAGCAAACAGCGTTACTTTCCCGAAAGTAGAGGCACCAGCGGGAAAACAAATTGAAGCAGGTGTGGGAATAGTTACAGAGCATAAGAAGTGCATTCCTGAGCCAAATGGACAGATTGAGAGACAGAGGAAAACTGATGGGAAGGAAAATGGCTGCCTACCACCCAGATCTCAGGCGTGGGAGGTGGAGGTTGGCTCGGGCTTTGTTTCACCATCTCCATTTCAGCAGTTGTGTTAGCACTAAACTTGGGGCAAGGGTGGTTTTGGGGACCACGTTTCCAACTTGAGTTTGCTACAGCAGCACAAGCCCAACCACAGCAATGACCATAAGCAGCCCAGCCAAAATGCAGATGCTGATGAAGACGATGTCACTGGTGTCCTGGCTCTTGGTTTCGTGGGCATCCATCGCTCCCACCCCTCTCTGCTTCACGTCCACCATATTTTCTGCCTGGCTCAGCCTGTGTGGGTCGGGGCCAGCAACGAGGGACACGGAGGCTTCCTTCCTCTTGGGCTCACACTGCACCTCGTACCGGTGGATGTCCTCCTGGTCACCCACCGAGAAGTCGATGTAGAGCGTGCTGACAATGACGGATGTGTTGTTTCGTCTCTGCAAGACAAGGCTTGAGACTCCTCAGGGCTCATCTCCACAGGCTTGTGGAGACAGCTCTGAACATCCAGCTGACAGCAAAGCCCAGCATCCACTGGGAGCATGGGAAAGAGGCCAGCAACTCCTTCCCACAGCTGGTGTTACCAACAAAATGTCATGGAATCACAATCATTAAGGTTGGAAAAGACCTCCAAGATCACCCAGTCCAACCCCAACCCCTCCCCACCAACCACATCCCTCAGTGCCACATCAGTTCTGCAACACCTGCAGGGATGCTGACTCAACCACTCCCTAGGCAGCCAGGGCCAAGGCATCACTGCTCTTGCTGAGAATTTTTTCCCTGTATCCAACCTGAACCCCGCCCCCAGCACAATTTGAGGCCATCAGCTCTCATCCTACTAGCAGTTAGCTGGGAGAAGAGACTGACCCCAGCTCACTATAACCACCTTTCAGAGAGCTGTAGGAAGAGATGTCAGCCCATTGCCCAGCTTGCTTTGCAGGAAGGTTTGCCAAATCCTCACCTGAGACTCAGCACCGCATGTGTCAAACCTGGTGTGTATCCTGAAGTGTGAACCGATCACTTGAGCCACGCAGGAGGGCATCCCCAAGTACACCTTGTTCCTCTGCAGCTGAGCCAGGGCCTGCACGGGGATCTGGATGTGGAAGTCCGTCCGCGTGCAGCTGATGTTCATGGGTACGACTGTCAGGACCAAAAAGGAGACACAGGCAAGCTGTCACCCCTGCCACCTCTTGTGCTTGCTGTCCCCGTGACACACGCAGCTGGTGGTGGTGGGGACAGCAGGGACTCCAGCCTCATGGCTGTTATGCATCATGCCACAGCCGTGGCTTGGGGACTGATGTGACAAGTTGTGTTTTCAGGAGGAAAAAAGAGAGTTGTTTCATACAGCAGTGGTTTAGCCCTGCCTTGCACTGGGTCTGCATACTGTGGGCTCCCTGGTACTGGACAAACCCCATCTCTTTGAGCAGAAAGCAATGGATGCAGGAAGGAATCAGGGAGGAAAAAATGCCCCTCTCCTTTGAAATTCATCCTCGCTGAGCTCAAACCAAGCACTTGGACAGTAATGAATTATTGAATTATTCCAACTCCCTCCGAATCTCGGCCTTATGAAACTGGTAAGATGCAATAAAATCAATATGAAAAAACAGTGTCAGTTTGCTACACTTAGTGCATTATAAAAACCATTAGAAGATTTACCAAATAACTAAAGTGCATTAGATGAAGAAGAGGAGGAGGAGAAAATGGATCCTCTCTCCTTGCATGAAGGCTCTCATTCCAATGGCCATAAATCACACAAACCCCACCCAAGTCACCTCGTGGGCCCAGACAAAAGGAAAATATCTGCAGGAATGAAGATTTACAAAAATTGAGATGCCCCTCTCTCGTGTTTCTGTGGTCCTGGGAATGAAACATTGCTTACTGAGTGCCTGGTACAAACCTTACCCCTCCCCAGCCTGTGAAGGCTTAGGATATAGCTCCATCCCCTCTCACTGCCATGGCTGCATTCTCCAAAATCCCTTCTGCTGTTCTCCCTATGACGTATGATTCTGCTGCTGAGGGATTAAAGCTCCTGCACCCAGCTCAGCTGCTGCAGCTCCAGTGCTGCAGTACCAGCAGCTCTGCAGGCAGGGTGCTGGGCTGCAGCTGCTCCTGCATTCCACAGACCCCAGGCTCATCCTGTGCTGAGTGCAGGCATGAATTATGCCTGATACGTGGGTCAGCTCAGACGTAATTATCCTGAAATACAGCAAATGTGGCACTGAGGTGTGATGGCACCAACACAAAATGACTGAGTTATGGAAAGTGGTTTTGATGCATGAGAGGGTACCCAAATGCCTGGCCACCTCTCCTCAGACTTTCATCCCTTTGTCCCCATTCACTGCAGGGGAGTTGGACTAGACGACCTTTAAAGATCCCTTCCAACTCAAACAATTCTATGATTCAGTGAAAAATCCCATGGTTCTTACACTCACTGGGATGAGTGGATGCCTTACCTCCAACGTAGGCAAGGGAGAAGCCCCGCTTGGCCGTGCTGCGGTCTGTGTGGAGCACCAGCAGCAGCTGATGGCTGCGGGAGGTGAGAGGCGCTGGGCTCTCCCTCCCACACCATGTCCCCAGCAGGGAAGCGTTCTCAGCTCCACCATCAAAGGCATCCAGGCGGTCATAGTCACAGCCGCTGGTCAGGCTGCTCCGAGCCTCCAGCTCCAGGTCCAAGAAGAAGACTTTGATCCGGTAGCCTGGGGGTAGCTGGATGCTCCACTGACACTGGAGGTTGTTGGGGTAGAAGTTGGGGTAGTGAGGGCTGGAGAAATTTCCCTTGATGGTGGTGTAGACTTCCTGGCATTCACCTGCTTAGGGAAAAAGCAGAGAGGGAGAGAAAAGGATAACTGAAGTCTCCTGGCTGATGAGTGCTCATCTATTTTGTTGCTAAAGCTTGATCTGCCCTCTGTCTCGCTGCTACTTAGTGTCTGGCCAATGTTCATCCAAAGGTTTTAAGGAACGGCAGCATCTGAGGAGACCAAGGCCATAGACTTAGAACATCCCAAGTTGGAAGGGACCCATGAGGATCACAGAGCCCAATTCCTGGCTCAGCACCCAAACCCTATGTCTGAGAGCAACACTGCATCTCCACACCCTTCCCGCCACCCCCCAAACCTTGCACCTGAGTAGAAACGGGCCTTGAAGCCCCTGCCCACGATGTTGAAGTCCGATTTGAAGAGGATGAAGAGATGTTGGGTAGAGGAGATGATGCGGGGCGGGCGGGTGCTACCGCAGTAGCGACCCAGGTGGGGAGCAGCAGCAGTGGGACCATCAAAAAGAGCCACGTAGTCAAAGCCACAGCCTTGGCCGCCCTCTACTTGGAAGTCAGCAAAGATCAGAGTGAGGGGGCCATCAGTTGCCCTGATGCTCCAGCGGCACTCTGCGTCATTGGGGTAGCTCTCGGGGTACTGCGGGCTGGCGATCTCCCCAGACAGCCCCGTCAGTTGCCCACCACATGCATCTGCAAGGAGGTACAGCCATCAAGGTCAGTGAGTGGATGGGCACAGATGGACACCCTCACGGCCACCCCCTTCCCCATTACCTTTGTGGTAGGTGGCAGCAAAGCCACGCTTGGCCACATGCCGGTCAGAGCGGAAGACCACAGCCATGACGTGCCAGGCAGAAGCAAAAGGTGGTGGGGCACTGCGGCCACAGAAGGTGCCCAGAAGGTTGCCCTGGTCCTGGGATGCCCCGTTGTAGACTTGGAGATAATCGTAAGCGCAGGCGGCGTGGTACTCCAGCTCAAAGTGGCTGAAGGAGAGCAGGACGGAGGAGCCCTCGGCCACCACGATGAGCCAGGTGCACTCCGTCTCGTAGGGGTATGGCCCCGGGAAATTGGGGCTGGAGAAGTTGCCAGAGGGTGCTGAGAGCACCCCGCCACATTTGATGCCTGGTGACAGGAAAGAAGGGTGGGAGGCAGACGTGATGAATCCCTTCTAGGACACACCTAAAAAGATGGTGGGCAGTGGGACAGAACTATAGGGGAGGCACTTCCTCCTCAACCCCCCTGCAGCCCTGCTGAATGATGGGTTCCCACACTTGACCATTTCCATGAGCTCATCCCACTGGTCCACCTACAGCTCAGTGGCAGTATCTGTTTCTTGCTGGGAAAAAGTAAAGAGTAAGTTTTAAGAGAGCAGTGGTTACACCCTGGCTGGTCCTCAGCCAGGAATATACTTTCCTTTTCCCAAAAGCTGCAGGGGGGGAAATGCAGCGCCTGCAGGTAAGGCAGCATGGCTAAGGCAGCCCCATCCTCAGTCCTGTGCCAGGAGGCAGCTGCAGCATCCTGCCCCACACAGCCTCTGGGGGTGCTCCTCAGCTCCCCAATTACAGGAGCTCTAAAGACAGATATTAAATATAGGGTTAAGCCCATCCCTTCAGCTTTTTGACACCTGCTCAAAACATTCCCTGCGTATGAAGGTGGTATTGGTGAATTCAGGCTAGGAGATATAGGGATGAAGGGTTCAATGTGCTTCACAATGAGTAGTGCATGTAGGGATTGATTTTCTAATGAAACCATTATAGTGAGACATGGTTATAATGAAACAAGGCAGGGAGGGAGCCAGGACTGGGTGCATATGCTGCACAGCGGGCACAGACATCATATCTGGGAGGGGAGCAGGCTCTGTGCAGCCTATGGGGAACACGTGCTGGCTCCCAAACATGGCTGCATGCTCACTGCCGTCAATCTGGGTGAAGCATGTGCAAATCAATACTCAGCCATTGCATACTACTGTCCATTATGCTTGTCAGTGTGGTGACCCGGCAAGAGAGGGAGCTGAGGACCTGCTCACAGTGCAGCACTGATCTGGTGTGCATGTGTGCAAGAGCAGCAATGCTGGTGGATCTCCGCACCTTGCTAATTACCAGCGATAGGCAATCAAGCCATACAGGACTGTGCTAAAAGCCTGATGTTACTGGAATTCATATCCAAGATGGAATCCTGCAGGAGGGGTGGGTCACTGAGGATGGGCTGCCTGGGCTGCTCTGCATTTTGGGGAGGGATATTGCCAGCTGCCTGAAACAACTGGCTGAGCTGTCCCACCCCAATCCCATGGAGTACTGTGGCCTGTGCCCAGGGTCACACTGCACAGATAACAAGTGGGTTCTGTCACACACAGCAAGCTGCACATACATACATACAAACACATACGTGTATACTGGTGCGTATGTACACATATATGCACATAGAACTGCAGAAATTAACAAACCCTTCAACAAAGTGCCTATAGCCACAAGACAATGCCTACCTACCACCTAAAACAAGCGTGACCTAGGACTCACCACCCCACGTACCTGCACGCCCAGTGCTGCTGAGCCACCCCCAACCCCGCCATGCACAGAACCTTACCTCCGCTCGGGGCCACCCTGAGCACCGTGCAGAGCAGGGCCAGAACCGACGTGCAGCCCGTGGCCCTGTGCCCCATCCTGCTGTCACCACCACCCGAGCATCTCTCCGGAGCTGTCTGTCCAGGAGGGAAAAAATAAATACGGGGAGAAATAAATAAAAAGCAGGAGGGCTGCAGAATTAATAGTGGAATGAATAATTCATCGCTTGTTTGAATTAAGAGCAGCAAGCAACTTGATCTATTCCTCCCTTCCTTCACTCGGTTTTAATGATCTAGATCAAATGTCCCAAGGATTTACACTATAGCAGATACCTTGTCAATACACTATATTTAGAAGAGATATTAATGCTTCAGATATGGTGTATAATGGCAGTAAGTCTGGGCTGACAATATGCCCTTAAGGGGCTATGAAAATAATTTAGTTCACCAGGCAAGACAGCAAACCAAAATGGGAATTTCAGGCTCACCACGGAAAAGTACCTCAGGAATTAACGTGATTTATACTGGAGCACAAGCCAACTGTTGATAAAAGCTGGAGACACCGGCAGCATCCCAGCGTTGGGCTTCTTGCTGCCTGCCCAACAGCACAGTGCCTTCACAGCCCATGCTGCACACAGCCGCAGAGGCCTGGCAAAATAAAGCCAGGCGTGGGAGAAACGTCTGCTTGAAAAAGGCACCTTCCAGGCGGTGGGGAAAGAAGCAGCCAGCGTCTCCAAACCTCAGCCACGGAGATGAGTTGCGTTTATTAATTAAGCAATGAGGATCGATGCCTGAGACATTTCCTGTGGATTAATGATGGGCTGGGAGGAGCCGTTGGCTGAGGTGCTGCTAAGGACCATTAACGCCAACTGGCCATTAATTCCCAGGAAACGCTCCATGCCAAGGTCATTAAGTGCCTGTATTTACGTATGGGTAATAACAATAATGTTTGGCTGGGCTCTCTGCCCCTGCCCAGCCTCATTGGAGCCATGCGGAGCTGGTTGGCACCAGACACACATCCCACTGATGGCACGTCCACCTCCTCGGAGCTCAATTAGCTAGTGCCAAATGAGCTGGGATAGAAAGGATCTGTCCCCACGCTATATCAAGGTGTCATCAGGACCAAGACCCCAGCCAGGACAGTTCTCTTGTCTCAGAAAGCCCACAGGTCCACCAAGAGAGAAGTTCACGGCTTATCCAGCACAGTCACACCAGGCTCCCTCCACTGCCATCCTCAGCACTCTGACACCTACGTGACCGCTCATCTCCATCCCTCCAGCTGCGCTCCGTGTCAGCAGTACCCCCGGGAGACGGGGAGGAGACAGGGGCCAGGGCTGTGCAGCACACCAGCTGTGACCCCATCCTGGGGAAAGGCATCCATCAGCCTCGGGCACATTCACCCGCTCCTGACCTGGGGATGGCAATTCCCCGGCCGGGCCGAGCCCAGGCAACACCATCAGTCAGCAGAGCAGAGGGGATGGGGGGAGGATGAGAACAGCAGTAATGCTGATGAGAAGCTAGGCAGCCCTTCACAAATGGCTCTGGCTCAGGCCAGAGACATCATGGGGTGTTGTTTTCTGGTGGTTTTTTTTTTGAGGCTGCTGAATCAGGGCTCCCCGAACTCCTTGGTGGGAAGATCTATAAATCATGAGTCAAAAAGGCATTTGATCCATTTAAGCAGAAAGGATGTGCTCAGGACCGCGAGTCGTCAAGAGGAGATCAAAGTTTTAAACACGGTCCCCCAGGAAGAAGTGGAATTATTTAGGCAGGGAATAATGAGATGAAATTAAGAAGGTATTTGGGTTGCCCACGAGGAAGAGAGGAAGCAAAGCTCCTCTCCCTGGCACAGCACTGCAGGGGGTTCATGGGGGACTCAGTGCCCCTGTGACCCTCGCTGGGGTGGCCAAAGCAGCCGAGCACCCCGCAGGACAGGCAGCAGACTGCCTTCTCCTTGGGGTGGGCAAGGACCTTCCAGAGCCCTCCATCCCACTGCTGCCCAGCAGTGCCCTCTGCACTGGGCTGTCCCCATGAGCCAGGAAGAGGGACCCATGGCACATGACATCCAGCATGAAAAATGACAAAAGGACAGTGGGGAAGGGGGAGGGAAGAAAAAGAAGGGCAGAAAACGCAGAACAAAGCACCGAGGGCTGTTTAAAGGCTCCTTTGAGTTCATCATGCCAAGGACACGGTCTCCCCTATGGAGAATTTCTCACAGCCCCCATCCCCTCCGGCACAGCAAATCGGGCTGTCGGCTGCATGTCGTCTCCTCCCGCTGCCCTGCAGGCTGCCTTTGCAGGATTGCAACCCGCAGCACTCACAGCTTGCTCTGTCTCTCACCACCCTCCCTTTTAGCCACGAACAAAGACAGGAGGCTTCGCAGCAGAATGGCCAGACCAGCTGGGTAAGGTTTAACCATCGTGGCCCATATGTGCTGAAATACCCAGACATATTGGGGTTGAGCTTAAAGGAACAGTCCCAGCTTTTGCTTGAAAACGCACTGCTTTTCCAAAGCAAGCGTGAAGCTTTACCTCAGGCCTTTGCTAAAAGGCTTTGTGGGTTTTTAGCAGCATCTCCAAAAGGCAGGATGCTTAAAGCAAGAGGTATATAAATATGGCTTTCAGAGTACGTAACATCAGAGGAAAATATTTCCTGCATTCCCAGCCAGGAACAAAATAGTGAGAGCAACCAGAGATGGCAGCTCTTTATTTTATCAGCCCCACGCTGCATAGAAGCACCTCCACTACAGTGTGGGTTATGGTGGCTAAAACACAGTTTGAAGAGGCACTAGGAATTTGCCTTGGACCCTAATGTGGGCAACATCACTGCATCCACCTGCAGTAAAAGCCAGAACTCTAGGCTATGAGAACAGCCCTCGATCTAAAGAAGTTAGCTTAAAAGCTGCATCCACACTGGACTGAGTCCAGGCACTTGGTAACTGGAGACAAACCTCATGTCAGCAAGGGGAACCCATGCCATTTAAGACTATGTCATGCACTGTAAACATGCACCTTTGTGCAATTGCAAAGAACTTCATGTGGTTTAGTGGCAACCGTGGCAGACTGTGTCTGCAGGGCCCAGGCTGCTCAGAGCTCTGACCCTGAACCACGTGAGAGGGCAGGCACATCCCGAGTTTAGATCCAGCTCTGTTACAGACCCCAGTCTCACAGGAAAAGACAAGAGTTCTCCCACGCCCAAGTGGTACAGTGAAGTATATTTACTCACCAAACACACACATTGTTATGAGCCAAGAAAAGGTGTCAGAGCCTCCCTGCAGCAATGAAGGAGTCAAAAACATGATCAAGATGATCAGCCCATCCTTCACATGATCTCACCACCAGTGTCACTCCTGGAGCAAAGGCAAAGCTGAAACAGCAGAAACAATGCAATCAGTCGCTGTCTGCAGGACCTCAGGTACCCACACAGCTTCCCAGTGTGAAGCAGCGCCATCCTTTTGAGCAGCTCTCGAGGTATGTGCCCCCCTTGTGCAAGGAGTATTATTTCAAACAGGTGAAAAATAGGCAGGAGTGATGATGCATCATCTGCCATAGCCATGGAAACCCTGTGAAATCCCAGCACAGGATGAACAAGGAATGAATGGCAAAACAGAAAGGTGTGCCAAAAGGGTATATGTCCAGGTGCACCTAGTAAACACTGAGGTCTAAGAAGTAAAAGAGTGGAGAGAAGATAACTCAGATCAAAGGCAGAAGCACTGTGCACTAGAAGGAAGGGGCTGGAGTGCTCTGCTGTGCCCTGTAGAGCAGTATCCCAGCAAAGCCCAGTGGAGCTTTCACTCCTCACATGTTGTTCTTACACACCCAGGGGTGCTCAGGACACTTTCACTCTGTGAATATCCTATGACAAAAAGAAACAGCTGTTTATTTGACAGTAACTTCAATTTAATGAATCAGGACTCTTACACAACACTTAGGGGACATGGAAAGGAGACAACCATCTTTCTCGATAGACAGCAGCTACACTGATGCTTCCCCACAGACTTTTAGGACATTCTCCTCCTCCCTCCAGACAGCATTGCAAGGGTTAAGGCTCAGCACAGGCAATGCAAATCCTCCTTGAGCACCATGAACAATTCCACCCTCACATATAGCAGGTCTCTTTTTTTTTCCGTACACAGCTGGAAAGGCTCTTTCCACAGAGCAGCACCTTCATCCCCATATTAATGTATTAGAGGGCAACTGAGGCACAGGGAGTGCTCTGCTGCTCCTGTGGCCTCACTATCTTCTCCCAAGAAAGAAATCTCTCCAGGGTACAACCAATGGGGCACAATATCACTGCATATTAACAGACTTCAAAGCAAGATATTGGTCTTCATATTACAGCAGACGTGTACACTTGGATGCTTCTTAACATCCTTAAGAGGTGTCTCTCAAAACCGCATGTAAAGGCTCCCACTAAAAAGACTATGCAGTTCCTTCAGGTATGGTGATTATAGCAGCCACTCTGGAAGATCACCTGATCTTTAAAACTCTCGAGACTGAGAACCATAGCGGAAAAATATATTTAATCCAAAGGCCTATGAAACTATAGGCATAGGGATCTGAGTCTTTTGAGATGACTGATTTCGAGCAATGTCTTTGAACAAGATACCCTAATCTTGGCCTGACGCTCCTTGGTTCAGGAATGCTTTGCTAAAAGGCAAAACAGGAATCTTCTTCAACTCCCGCAGCTTTCAGATATCTGTTCATGTCTTCAGTGAATGCAGAAGATCCACAGATTAATACAAATGGCTTTCTTCGGCAGGAATTTATTATTGTCTTTATCAAGTCCTCATTTAGACGACCAGTGTATGTGTTTTCCTGATAGCTCCAAGGAAGATTTTCCAGTGAAGTTTCCTGAAAAGGCAAAAAAGGACAGTAAAAAGGACAATAAGTTGCTTACAGCTGTATCTCCCTCTTCCCCTCAGAGTACTACACAGGGTGTTTTTTACCCTTGGGACTCCAACCTGGATAGCAGTGATCTATCCCAAGACCTGTGGTCCTCTTGCAAAGGCCAGATAAAATACCTCCCTATCACCGGATCTGGCCACTGAGCCAAACAAAACTGAGTGTAACTACTGCCAAGTAGCACTGCAGGACCTACTCCTTTGGGAGCCACTGCCCACCATGCCTTCTCAATTCCCAAGTCTTCAGTCCCAATTCTATCCCTCCCCACTGCCTCTTCCACTCCCCCAAGACTCCTTCAGTTCCATCTCCCTTGCCAAAGCAACTGAAGAAAACCCTGCTCCAGACACAGCTCTGATCCCATGAGCAATGCTAGATCCCATGACATTAGATCTAACAGGATCCCCTACTGCTATTAATTAGAAGCACAAGGTGTTTAGATCTGATGGTGACAGGGGACAGACACATAAAATCCTAAAAGGGAAGATGCACCACTCAGCACTGGAGTACAGCAAGCCTGCCAAGAGAGGAGAGATGTGTACGTAGGGCAGGCTGTGTTGACAGGGGTCAGAGAGGGTCAGATGGGTTTCTTACTGCCCTTCACTGGGTTGAATTTCAAGAGCTTCTCAGGCTCTTGAGAAAGCACTGTCCTGAGAAGAGCATCTAAGCTATGTCACCAGATCACACACCTACAGAGCAGTTGAGGGGGATGCCCAAGCACAAGCACTTTTCCCTCTATATCCAACTTGCCAAGACCATATGTGGAACATAATGTATGAGGCAGAACCACCATGAGATACAAAAAATGATTCATCTGAGAAGCTAAAAATGCAATGGGATTCATTCCCTCAGCATAAATAATTCTTTCTGTATCTTCCCTGCAATGAATCCTCATTGCTGAGGGAACTAATTTTCATCTACCAGATCTGTGCAGAACACAGGCAACTCTGGGACCAAATGAGAACGAAAAAGACCGCTGAAAACAAGACCACTGAGAGGTATGCCCTCATCCCATGAATTTGGCACAGAAAATCGTTTTACAGAGGGGGCCACAACTTCAGAAAGTTTAAAAATGGGTCAACTAGGGGAAAAAAACTGCTGGGAAGTTGGTGCTAACGTACTAGAATAAGGGAGGTGTAGCCATGAGCAACAAATGGAAGATAAGGACAGACTAAGGCACTGGTATTAGGAAAGGAGAAATAGTTTATCTGCTGTGAGGCTCCAAGAGTAAAGCTTTCTTGGCATAAATGTTTTGGGGCAGCAACAGCTGTCTGAAATGAAGGGGGAAATGATCAACAGTGAATGTGAATCAGTGGGTCCTTCCTGACAGGAGAACTGCCAGCAGGGTTGAAGAGGGACAAGAAGAGAGGGTTGTTTCCCTAAAACTCTTCAGGCTGTTGGCAGCACAAGAAACCATTTAATAGATCTAAGAACAGCAGCAACAGGATCAACAATAGCTTTGATAGCTGGGAAAGAATTAGCACCAGACTGACAGAAAAGGTTCATCCAGCACAACAGAACAGTCACATAAATGTATTTCACATTCATTTATTTACCTGGCTTAGGACGTAAAATATTCTGATGTTCCAGTATCTGGCCAGATCCTGGAGAAGAGGTTTCAAATAAATTTTTTCAAAGGTACAAAAGCAGCCAACAAGAGTTACAAAGGTTTCATCCTCTTCATTATCTGTTATGGACTGGAGAATGGGAAGCATTGGTGCAAGACCAGTGCCAGAAGCCAGCATGAGGAGTTCTCCATGCTAACAAAAGAACAGAGAATTCTGAATTAACCATCATGACTGGAAACAAAGGTGCTCATTGCCAGTTCCTCCTTGCTGCCACGCTGCTAGAAGGTCCCTAGAGAGGGGAAAACATCAGGACATGAACTGCTACACACAAGTCTTCAAATGTGTTTTTCTATAAACCCCATCAAGGACTACAAACAGCATTTTCAAGACTTATATATCAAATTTAAAACTGGATTATATCCCAATAGAAACATTTATCCTAACTTGAGTTTCAATTCAGCTGTACACTTTGCTGACCCATTGCTCGTTGTTTTCCTGCTGGAAAAGATAGCTGTTTATTTTGGATGCTGCAAAATACAGTCCTGAAGGTGCACTGGAGGGAATTGTTTCTTCTTCACCTTGATCCACACATCACCCTCATGCATTACCTCACTTCTATCAGAGACCCACCAGTGCAGCACCCAGTGCTTCCCACCTGCAGCATGGAGATGTCCACTCATTTACCTGCACCAAAGGAGGCCCACGATGGGGACAATTCTTCTATAGCAAGAAGTTCTAAAGATTGCTCAGGTACTCTGTAAACTACATGCGTGAGGATCACCCACACAGTCCCTGAATGAGTCACTTCTAGGTAGAGCTGCAATGTTTTGTCCCAGATGACCTGGAAGCTTTTAAGATCAGAAGTGAACAGTATCCTCACACAGCAGGGAGGATATTCCAGGAAGCACAACACCACTGCTCTGCAGGGAGCTTGGCCAGTGGGATTTTACAGCCCTGCTTTTGTTGGATATTTAAAATGAATTAAAAAAAAGAAGGAAGACTTTGGGATCTTAATGACCTATGTTTCAATTCTGCTTCTCGTTTGGAAGGTCAGAATTAAGTAACGAAATTAGCGTGTGTGAGAAGCCTTCCCCTGAAACTGGATCTGCCTTTCTTTGCAGAGAGCCTGGTATCAGTAGATGGGAATCAACATTTGCAGAGTGTCTGGGTGATGTGACACCTCACTGGAGCTGCTGTAGTTCAGGGAACACCCAGGAGAGGAAAAGATCAACACCTCTTTTTCACTTGTGCTCAGACACAAAATAGCAGCATTGCTCAAACAAGGCAAAAAAACAATCCACACTCACTGCTGGGGCAGAATAAACTTCCTTTGTTAAACACATGCAAGTGATGAACAGAGACCCTTGCTAATTTTCTAGTCTCCCACCCACCTCCTTCTCCTCTTCCCTCTTACATATGCTGCAGTTCAATAAGGTGTACTTTCCCCAATTGACTGCTAATGCTGCAGCACTGCACAATACCCAGGAAGTCCCTAAAATAATCATGAAAACAGTAATCAAATTGATGTCTTCCCTTTGGATTATTAAACAAAGCTAGCTGCCACGAGCTGAAACATCCTACGTCTCTTAGGAAACTAACCTTATTAGGTCGATATGGGAACCCTCCAAATGGCCCACGCCAAAAGGCCGTGTCTCCTTCTTTCCAAGTCCTTATGTATTGTGACATTAGCCCAGCTTCATAGCACTAATAAAAAACATTGCACAAAAGAAAGGAATAATTATACTCTGTTGGAAACTTTCCCAGCTTAAAGTCAATTATAAAGTTATCTGCATTTAAACAAGAAGGGGGCAAAAAAAAAAAAAAAATATTTCATGCATTTAAAAAGAAAGAAAGATCATTCTATTTGAAAAATAATTCAAAGTTATACCCAAAACAAAGACATTTAAATTAAATCATATTGGATTCATTCCAGCTCGACTACAATGTAAACACAACCCACTCCTATGCAGTCTGAATTTCCAAAACTGGAAAAAGCTTATCAAAGTTCTTGCTTACAAAGCACGAGTAGAAGAGCACCTTGAATGCAAAGCACAGCCCGAGCCTTCAAGCATTCTCCAAAGCTCAGGGTGTGGGATCTGTAAAAGCCCTCTGGGCACTGATAGTTACATAAACACTGCGCAGCTCTTCCTTTGTTTCAGTCTCTCCGATGCTGTGTTGATACAATTAGTGACCAAACGAGAGGCTTCTCATTTATAAAACCGTTTCCAGAACAGATCATCTGGATGCCTTTGTGCTTTCAAAAAAAATATGTTAATTTGGGCTTCACAGAAGGGAAATATTAGTCAAAAAAATGCTTTACTTTCCACTAGGCACAAAAAACCCCCATCATTTTGGCTTTTCCTCATATGAATGCTAGCCTCACTGGTGACTGATAAGAAAGGGTGAGTGCTTGTTCAAAAAGAGAATCATAGAGTGGTTTGGGTTGGAGGGGACCTTAAAGTCTACCCAGTCTCAACCCCTGCTGCAGGCTGCTTGGCACCCACCAGATCAGGCTGCCCAGAGTCCCACCCATGTCAGCCTTAAAGGTCCCATCCAAGCAGCCTTATTGCTGCACGTAATGTGCTACAGGCATATACATGTCCTACTTGTATGATGGCCTGATGTTGACAAGAATACATGCGAAAGAACTGTCAATATCTATGGGACCTGCTCAGAGAACAGCTGGCCCATCCTGCAGAAGCAGATAAGCCTAACAGCTATGGCAGACAACTGGTCTTGCACAGAGGTGATGCCACTGATAAGCTTGAGGAAAAGCAACACAGCCAGAGGTCAAAAGATGGAATGCAGTACAAGCCTTCAAAGCCTTCAGCCCACATAACTGAGAGAAAGTTATCTGGGGGTATTTTCTGCACTGGACAAAAATCCAGCTCCACATCCCAGTGCCTGGACCAGCCACCAAGCAGCACTGCAGGCAAACAGAACTGATGAACTGTGCACCGAGAAGCTAAGGACAGGAGTGAGCGAGTGTGTGGCTGTGCTTGCAAGCTTGTTAGCTAACAAAGAGCACAGATACTCCTCCCTTGTAACAAGCTCACTTAAATAAGATATCCTGGCTATTAAGATCTATTAGCACCGGTTGTTACATTGAAGGCAAACATCACATGCACACATCCAGATTCTGCCCTGCTGTCAGAAACATTTCATGCTCAGAAGGCTCTGGGCAGGTACTGAATCTCATGCAAAGAGCGTCGCATCAAAGGACCAGTATTTGATCCCTACCTTCTTTACCTGCATATGGAAATCTGAGACAAGAGGAGAAAAGTCAACCCCTCTTTATGACCCACTCCCAGTGGACCATGGTAATGGTAACTAAAGCAATCCTTGCTCCAAAATTATTTCTGAAAATCGGAGTAAGAAGTGATTGAGTGGGCTTAAAATGAATTTTTCTAAATAGAAAGAGAAAATAATTATCTCCTGGGGGCAAACCTCTACACCCAGTTTTACATGGAGAGAAACCCTAACATTATAAAATCACTCAAAAAGAGGGTTATGCTCCGTAAATGGCAACTGCTTCACTCTTAACTGTAGTATCACAAATGCAATGCTGTAATAACAGGAGACAGAAGGGTTTGAACAGTGCTGGGATTGCATAGTAATAATAATAATATAGTACTTTCCAAAATTGCTTGAATAGTGTGAAATATACCACAACCTACAGAGTGAGTTATAAAAATGGCTGCTTTGCACTGGGTGTTACCAATCTCTTTTGTCACTGCCAGAGAATAACTATAGCTCCCTTTGGGATGAAAGGTTCCACATAAAGGAAAGGTGTCATTACAATCATTACTATTATTACTGAAATGCAAAACCTGTGAGTAGTAAGCAAGTATACATGAAATTTCACAGTCATCCTGTGAATGTATCCTATTAATACAACTCAAATGCAACATTTCTCTCCCCTACCACACGCTAATTGCCACAAGAATGGTGAAACGACCCTCCCACAGGTATCTTACACAAGCTATACACATTTCTAAAGAACAGGGCAGACATTCAAACATACAATACATAATAGACCTCCAGAACATGAAAACCTGGAAGACTGGCAGGGGACAAATGGTCATTTCCTGGCAGTCACCTGGGACACCCAGCATTCTGTGTCTTACAGCTACACTGAAGGCTGCATCTGCCCTGAGGAACCACTACTGACACACAAACACACGTCAGAAAAAGATTTTCACTTTGGTATTTTCCACACAAACTAATTATGCGTTTGTAGGAGCCCTGAAGACTACATTCGGAAATATTTCCAGCCCAGTTCTTATGTAACATCCTTTTGAATCCCACCAGCTCACCCAAACTGGGGCTGTCACCAAACACACTGATTTATTATTATTATTTTTACCAAAAATAAGAGCTTTTATGAGGAGCATCCTTAACACAAAAATAAGGAGTGGGGGAAAGCAACAGCTGGGCAAAGCCTTCCCAAAATCCAATGGTTCCACTGGACTGGCTACTGAGTGCGACTTCAAGATCAGACTGAAAAGGCAAAACAAAATCAGGGACACGGAATGGGCATCTCCTCGCACAGGGGCAACTGCAAGGCTCCTGAGAGGGCCTAGTGTTTAGTAGAGATTGTGCTGTGAAGCACTTGTTTGTGTGTCACCTTCCTCTACTTCCAGCTTCGTGGAGGAAAAAAAAAGCAGCAGTTTTTTTTATCAGCAAAGCACAACTGCTTCAAAACAACAGAGAAACCGTCCACGAGGGATTTGACAGAGCCTCCCTTGAAGTGCTGACAGTGTGCTTGGTTCCTAAAAGAAAACACAGTTCCCAGCACCTCAGACTGTAATCTATATTGTATAGACTGACTTACTTTTATTAGAACTTCAAAGTAACCTTCTGCATTCCCTGGGCTAATGGGAGTGTAGGCTCGCTGGACCTCCAAACCATTCACCACTCCTCTGAGAAAAGAAATACAGGAAACCACTGTAACTTGTGTCATTGACAGATATTACCAACACTTCTGCTTTTCTCTGGGGAGATCAGGCAACGCCAAGGGAGGCAGCAGAACCCCTCCTCAGTGGCTCAGCCTGTGCACAAATGCAAAATGCTCCCCTGGGAGAGGTAAAAATCCACGGGGGACATAACTTACGATGCATCTACTGTTTTCCTGCTGGTGGCCCCAGCTGTATCCTACATTCAGCTCTTTCATGCATTCCTGGAAGGAGGCTTGGGAAAGAGTGGCAGAGGGGACAGAAAATGCTCTCTGGTGTGCTACACCTTTCTTTTTGTGTTTGGACAGCACCTGACAATTAAATAATGAAGTCGGGGCACAGCCTTAAGTCAAACTCTTGTCTATACTCGCTGTATTTTCCTGCAAGGCTTCTCTTTCCATTGAATATACCCACAGTGCTCTTCACTACTGACTACAGTAACTGACTCAAATGGCCAAACCTTTTCCTCTGCTGCACTGCATGAGAGGGCTGAAGGGAAGGCAGCCAGCCAGCTGTGTACATCAGCTGTTAACGCACCAGTAACATCAGCAGATACAGATCAATGGCATCATAACGTGACTTCTGCTTTCTGGCAATGATCACCACAGATGGCAGGGAGAGAAACTTCTCCCAGGTGGCCACTTTCTGGTGAGCCATTAACTGCACAGGAGGGTTGTTTTCCTAGAAATCAGTTAGAAAATGCCCAGACAACAGAAGAAGCACCATGGGTGCTGAGTTACTTCAAGAGACAGAGCCTAAAATACCCAACCAGGACTTGAGCACAGCTCATTGTCCTCCCTGCAACACACAGCAATAAGCCACCTATTGTAACACCTATTCTTTTATTCTTTCTTTCTGCAATGTATTTTTTTTTTTTTTTAAATCACATCCAGTTCTTTCTGACCCACCGACATGAGGATAATGCTGAAGGAAAAAAAAACAACAGAGCTTTGCAATGACTTTTGCTATAAAATTAGCAGAGCTAACAAGCTCACGGGGCCTTTCATCTGTATTACTGCACAGCTATGGAATTATGATTTGCCTGGTGTGAAGGCTTTGTCTATGGACAAAAAGCTATAGATGGGGTTACATAATGCGGGCTGTTTAAGCAGCACAGAGAACAATACCTTAACACGATGTGTTGTCCCAAACCCAATCGCAGGCTGCCATTTCCTGGTAATTCAAACCTGTACTGGTAGGTGTCCTCTGTTAGCTGCTGCACCGAGCTTATGGTGAATGCAGTAAATGCATCCGGACTGAGCTCTGAATTACTACTCTGCAAGAACAACAATAAATAATCACTCGGTTAGATGACCGCCTTTTGTTATTTCATGTCTCTCCGGAAGCCAATTTAGCGCTAGGGACGCGCCGTCAGCGCAGGCACGGAACGCGAGGCCGGCGCGGATGCCAGCTCTCGGTCACACGGCACAGCTCTGAGCGCAGCGCACCTCCGTTACACGGCACAGCTCGCAGCCCTGCCTGCGGGTGCCACGAAGCCGCGCTGACCTCCCCCTGTTTCTCCACGAGGAGGTTTTTGTCTCGCGCTGCTCTGGCCCGCTCCCATCGCTCCAGTTCCTTCTCGTACACGTCGTAGACGCACGGCTCGCAGCCGCCGCCGCAGCACTGCGATGGAGAAGGCTCCCGGGGCTTGAGAGCCTGCCACTCCTCCTCCTCGCGGCCGCTCATCGCCTGCAGAACGGCAGCCCCGCATCGACAGCGCGGAGCCGCTCGCACCGCAGGCCGCCCCCCAGGGCCCCGGCCGCCCCTCCCCCCGTCCCGGCACGGCGCTGCGCGCACCGCCGCCGCGTTTATCGCCCGTCCCTCCCCGCGGAGCTCTCCCATTGGCCACCTTCGCCGTCACTCACGCCGCGCCCCCGCCCCTACCGCCGTCCCGCCGGCCCGCGGCAAGATGGCGGCGGTGGGAGCCGTGGCAGCGAGGCCTGCGGTGCTGAGGCGGGCGGCGGCCCACAGCCGCGGCATCCTCACCCGCCCTGGGCCGCCCCGTCCTCGCGGCCCGCTGCCCCGCACGCCCTGGACCACCCGCGGGCCGCCGCCGGACCAGCTGGCCCAGGTGGTGGAGCGGCGGCCGGTGCGCGAGCAGGTGGAGCTGGACAGCATCACGTACGCGGGCCGGCAGTACTTCGTGCCCGGCCTGGCCCGGCCGCGCTTCCCGCCCTGGGACCGCGGCTGGAGGGACCCGTGGCACAGCCCAGGGCCGCGCTACGAGGACATGCCGCTGCGCAAGGAGCGCGGCTGCTTCATCTGCCACCAGCGGGTCCGCATGCTGGAAGGTACCGCGCTGTGCGGAGCCCGGGGCGGCCTCGATGCGGGGACGGCGCGTCTGGAGCGCTGCGTCCGGGGTGCGGCCCTTAGGGCAGGAGGGACACGGATAAGGGACGTGGATCTGTTGGAGTACGGCCACCAAAATGGCCCCTGGAACAACACCACTGTGATGGGCCGAGTGCTGTGGGTGTGCTGCCTGGAGATGAGAGAGCTCCGGGGAGACCCGAGGGCAGCCTGTCAGTGCTTCAAGGGGGGCTGTGAGAAGGAAGGGGACAGACTCTTGAGTGGGTTCCGGTGTGATGGGATGAGGGGAAATGGTTTCAAACTAAAATGAGAGAGATGCGCCATCCCTGGTGACACCCAAGGTCAGGCTGGATGGGGCTGTCAGCATCTGATGGAGCTGTGGGTGTCACTGTTCAGTGCAGGGAGTGGGACCAGATGGCCTTTAAGGGTCCTTTCCAACTCAAGCAATTTTATGGTTCCATGAATGATTCCATTCGTCAGCCTGCTGCACTGCACGCACCCATTGCCAACCTGCCTGGTGGATTAATTCATACAATCATTAAGATCACCAAGATCACCAAGTCCACCGCACCATTCCCACTGACCACGTCCCTAAGTGCAACAGCTGCCCTTTTCTTAGACACCTCTGGGATGGTGACTCCATAGCTTTCCCAGCCTGTACCAGTACCTCTCCACTCGTTCTGATAAGATTTTTTTCCTAATATCCAGCCTGAAGAAAATTCACACCTGTGTGTGTTTTTACTTTTGTTTTGAGGGGTTCGGCAGGCGCAGTGGCTCACCAAGACAAAGCTGGTGCAAGGCTTGCCTGCAGCGGTGCTCAGCATCGCCGAGAACCCAGCATACCAGCTCCAGGAGCAGGAAGAGGCCGTGCACCGTGCAATTGCACATGCACGGCTCTGGGAGACCACAGAAGTTGCTCCCAGAAGAGAAAAATATTGGTAAGTGTTCGCTCAGGTTTTGGTGTAAAGCCGTTCATCAATGGGAACCAGAGAGTGTAACACTACAAGGAAAACTCACACATAGAGCTGCCTTAGAGAGAGCCGTGGTGCTAAACTGTCAGAGCCTTTGTCACCTTGTAAACAGAGCAAAACAGTGCAGTTCTGGAGGTTGGCAGTAGTTCCACAACGTTACACATACTCCATATTGAAGCTTCTTTTAGGCCAAGGACTGCGTTCTGCTTAAGATCAAGTTTTAGCTGATGCACAGCGTCAATTTTTAAAATAAGTAATGCTAAGCATTACCTCTGCCAGCTTGGAACAGGGCTGGTTTGCTGGGTATTAATTTGAGATCTGTGTTAGCAATAATGTTTTATAGCTTTCATATCCCAGAAGCATCCGCCTGCCATTAGCACAGCATATTTACTTCATGTGACCATTTTTTTTCCCCCTAACTCTAAAGCCCTGTATTGTTTGAAGACTTGATACACTTATGCCGGTCAATGTCAATGAAGTATCCTTCCCTGGCTAGAAGAATGCTGGCTCGAAACTACCGGATTGCAGCTACGTGGGAAAGAGGTTGGTTGCTGCTGTGCTTGAAAGCAGTTGGCTCTTTTCCTTGTCGTGAGAGGGCTAAGAAGGGCATTCAAAAGCTTAAGACTTAGAAAGACCAGAACAATTTCTAGAACCAGTTCTTGATTCAGTAGCACTGCGTGGATAGGCAGCCTTGATTGTTGACAGGAGATTATTGAGGTGTTAGGCAATACCAACAAGGTGGTGGGAGAAGAGAACCAAGTGTCTTAACTGGTTGCTTATTTTTGGCATCCAAATCTGCATAGTGATCTTTCTAAATGTGCTTAGTTAACAAGCGAACACCACTAATCAACATTGCTGCTTTAGAAAAAGAACCTACGGCTGTGCTATTATTTAACGTCAGTTTGGAGGTGAGGGGCAGAAGGAGCCTTGTAGAACAAAGGGCTGCATGAGTGCTGTTGCCCGGAAGCAAACGTAAGCCTTTGCCTGATGTTATTTTAGTGATGTTTGAATACAGTCTGATTTCCCTTCCCAGAATCCACTCTCCTTCAGATCCGTGGCCTGAATGGAATACTTATGAACTCTATGACCCCAATACCGCCGATAGCCTCCAAGGAAGAGATACTGGCCACAAAAGACCATGTTCTGGAGACCTTCTATCCCATCTCTCCTACAATTGACCTTCAGGAGGTGAATGTATACCAAGAGCTCAATGACACAGGCAAGTGTTGGAGGTGGCAATTTGCTAGCAGTCCTTGCCTTTCTGCCTCACGGCTCTGGGGAGGATGGGAGTGGGGCAGTGGGTGTGCAGTGCAGGCACTCCAGTGGTAGGACTGTGGAGAAAAAAAAAACAGGCAAATTGCTTTAACAGATCCTGAAGATAAGGGAGAAAACATTGGCTCTGTAGTCTCTTAGTGAGCGATTTCTGATGTGGTTATCTGCCGTTCAGGTTTCAAAGATGGTTATCCGTACTCTCATCCTCACACTCTGTATTTCCTGGAATCGGCCAACAATCGTCCTAACAGGTTCAGACCAGAACAGCTCCGTGCTAAAATGCTGATGTTTGCTTTTGGCAACGCACTGGCAAAGGCGAAGGTGCTGTATGGGGTATGTATTGGAGACTGCTGCTGTCTTGCTGGGCCTTTGTTCTTTCCCTAGCACCACAGCCAGCAGGAAGGGTTGTGGAATTCCCTTGCTGTAGCATGTTGGAATAGTTTTCAAAGCTGCACTGAGGATACTGTATCACAGCTTCCCACTCCAGAGGTCTTAGTCTAACCTTCAGGTGTGGCTGCTGCTATCTGCTGATCCAGTGCACCATCTCAGCAGTGAGCACGTTCATGATGTGACATGCACTGAGGTGGTAATAGGTAGGAGCCAGGGAGAAGGTTTAACTGTAAAACTCTAACCCTTCCCACATCTCAGTATGCAAATTGATACCTCACTGCTGGCTGAGGGAGGAATTTTAATTAAAATACCAAATCTACATTCAAAACTTGTTTGACTAGAGTAATTTTCTGGGCAAGGTAACAATACATTTATTAAAATCTTGGCTTTAAACCAAGTAGAATATGCGGAATCAGCAACTGCTCGTACAGTTTCTGTGGTAGCTGGTTTTTTAAACGTTCTCCTTCCCTTCTTTCCTAGAATGATCCCCAGGTTTTGGAGCAGCCAATAGTGGTGCAGAGCGTTGGCACAGATGGCCAGCTCTTCCAGTTCTTGGTGTTCCAATTAAATACAACAGACCTCGTGTCTAACGATGGCATAAAGAATCTAGTCTGGATTGACTCCGATCAGAATCTATATGAAAGTGCCCAGTGTGTTCCAGAAGTCAAGAAGAGAGTCGTTATAGTAAGTGAGTGGGGGCAAAGCACTCCTGGGCTGGGAGCAGTCCTCGCTGTGCAACGCTTTCACCTGTGCCAGAGGTCTGGGAGCTGGCATGGAGCTGTGCTGCGGGTTTTAAAGCAGCTGAGGGGACTGAGGCTGGCACTGGCGCCATTCTTACAGGAGAGCCTGAAGCAGGTGTTACTGCCAGGGAGTATTTGTACTGCTGATGTACTGCATAGCATACAAGCCACACGCCAAGCTTCATATGAACTCCTACATAAAGATATCCCCATCTGTAATATACCATCTCATAGTACGCTTGCTTGAAATCAAGTTGAAAACAACTTCCATGCAACTGTCAGCTTCACTGCAGAGTAAACAGAGCACCGTGCTGTCAGCCCCAGTTACACGGGGAGGGCGTCTCAGGTGGATGGACAAAGCATTGCCGCCGCCTGAGATTGATGGCAGTGGGAACACCTCCACACAGAGCCACCTGGGGAGGGCAGGGGGAGCACAGTTTGGAAGGCACCGCCTTTGAAGCCTTATTCAAGAGCGTTTAAAGCTGTTATTTGTCTGCGTTAATCACTTCACTGCAAACTGAGCATCCGTGTCTTTTCTCTGCAGAAGCCCACTGGAATATATGGCTTACAGCCAGAAACATTCAAGAAGTTTCTGGCGCTGTATCTGCATGGAACTGTGTGAAATTCAGCTCAAATGAAAATCCTTCACCAACTGTACCTGCTGCTTCTCTTTGCCAGAACCATCGCGTAGTGAAAGAAAGGTGGACTGATGTACTTTCAGAAATAAATTATATTGCTGCAGAAAGTAAAATTTTTTTTAAAACCAAATCGTGCCTGAAGAAAGTTTAATTTGAGGAGCTCACCTCTGTGAGGCTACAGAGTGATCAAGTGCATCCTCCTGGATGTTTCCACGGTTACCTAGCAGGAACATAAACCCGTCGCGGTTCCTTTGCACAGCTGCTGTGCTCCGTGTGCTTCTGCACAGACCAACCTATTTTCAGAGTACCTGTGAGTGCAGTGTACATGGGAGGTACCTGAGGAGCTTGAAGAGGGGAGCCTGAGTCATGCCCTTCTCCTTCTGTGTGGGTTTTTCTTTGCTTTGCTCTTGGGTGCTTTGGGGTGTTGTGCTGCCCTGCTCTTAGTTCCCAAAGTACTTAATCAGGGAGACTGGTTTGCTGAACCTGCAGAACTGCCGTTCTTTTACCCCTCCCAATACTGATGAAGTATCCATTTTGGGAAAGCGCTGTGGAGCGTAGCATGAAACTTTGGTGCCTGGTAACTGGCAGTGGCTGCTAGAAACACAAAGAATTTCTTCCTGCCACACTGTGCTAGCTGAGCAGGAAGCATGTTCTCTTAAAACGGGGGGATTAAGTATGTGTTTTTTTTGTAAGATGAAGGTTAAATTAGCTTTGACCACATGTAAAACGTTTTCCAGTTCTGCACTGTTGCCCTTCAGCACATGGGAAGGAGTAGGACAGCCTGGCTTATGTTAAGGAGTGGAAGAGCACATACGTCTCCAAGAAATTCGTATCACGTCAGTCTCTCGTGTCGGAGACTGGTCTGTGCTTTGTGATCTCGTCTGACCATCTGGATGAGCACCTCCGCTGTGTGCTCCAGTCTCAGGCTATCAAACAGCTCCACTCTGCAGATTTTACAAAACAGATCCTTGCTCGTCAAACTGGAGATCAGCTGTTGGGCTCCATGAATCGGGATGCGTCTTCTGTGAGTTAAATTAATAAATCTCTCAATGGTTAGGAGAAAATGCTTGAAAGAGAAATAATCCAGTAAGTGTTGCGTTGATCTAAATTATGTTAATTCCGTCTGTTCAAAGGGCTGCTCAATTCAGCTCATCTGTTTAAATCTGTAATTTGTACCCGGCTATTTAGGAACATCTTTTGATAGTTGAGCTCTGCAGAGGCTGTTCCAGGTGGTGGTTCTGTCTCTTCGGGCTCGTTGGCTCTCTGCTATGTGTTGGGGGCCCTGCAGAACAGCTGGAAGTGACATTGCTCACCCCTCCTGTCATGGGTCATCGCCCGGCACAGGGAGGCAGCCCTGCTGAGCAGCCAGCCCTGCACTCAGCGCTCGCATTCCTGAGCAGAACAGCTCTGCTGAGGAAGCTGTTAAAAGGTTGGTTGTGGTAAAGAGTGGGCATGAAGAGGGAGATGAAACACCTCGAGCGCTCCTGGTAGGTGGGGCAGCTTGTGGAGGTGGTCTGCAGGGGAAAGAGCCAAAGTCCCTTCAGCTGCTTTTACCGCTCCGCAAAGAAATCACTGCTAGTAAAGGCAGCTTCAGGGAGGCTGGAGTCCTGCCTGCACCAGTAGTTAGAGACAGAGCATGGGAAGGGATGGAGGAGGGCAGAACAAAGGCAATTTTGAAAATGATGGCGGCAGTGAACCACTGGACGCTCAGTGGGGAAATGAGGTCGCTTCAGGTACCAGCTTTGGTCACTCAGAAGCCATGTGAGCTGCCAGCCCCAGTTTGTGCTCATGTTGCTGGGGGTGCAGCAGCCTCATGTCCTGGGTGAGCTCTGAGGTCCCAGAGGGAGGTCGGGGTGGGCAGAGCTGGGCTCCTGGCATGGCCGAACCCTACTGCAGGTGTCCTGTGGGCGCACTGCATGCAATCCAGTGGAGCCACCCATTCCTCCGCTGGACTCGAGCTGGAGCTGGGAATGGGGCACAGAGGCACATCTGGGCGGGCATCAATAAGTCATAAAAGCTCATCAGCAGCTAAAGGGCATTACCTCAGCACGGCCCGAGAAGCAGACATTAACATTTCATGAACGGCAGTCGGGAAGCAGAACGTGGGAGAACATGTTGGCTGTGCCGCCAGGGAGAGCTGCAAGAAGAGCTCCTGCTCCCTGCATTAGGAGCAGCCGCCAGCACCGTGAGCCTGCTGAGCTGTTCCTGGGATCCCCCTTGTCCCTGAGAGCTGCACAGGCTGCTCCCACTCACTGCAGCGGGCGCTCAGGACGCAGCGCAAGTGTGCCGAGTCCCTCACTGCTGCTGAAGATGAGGACTGTTTCTCCAGCACTGCTTTCCCCTGGCTCAGACCCAGTATGGGCCCAACATCCGGGGGCTGTTAGCCAGCAAGCACACTCTGTACCTGGCTGGAGCCCCTGCTCGCTCACCTCCTCCTTTAATTTAATGAGCAGCGACGTGGGAGACAATTATCCCTGGGGCCGGGCTTGGGAGGCTGCTGGGGAAGGAGCTTGGCAGCTCTCAGGGCTGTGTTGAAAGAAACAATCCAAGAACTGGTGAGCACGAGGGTCCCTACGCCTTGAGGGACAGAGTGCAGAAATCTGCCTTTCTAGCCCCAGAAAGTGCTTCTGTGCACCCCCAGCCCCCCGCCTGGCTCTGCCATGAGGAGCTGTCAGGCGCCCATCAGCACCCTTAGTGCTGCACCACAGGGCCCCATCCGCAGTACTGTGCCCAGGCTGCGGGCCGCCGGCTCAGAAAGATGGGGGGCTGTTGGAGAGGCCCAGAGGAGGGCGACGAAGATGCTCAGAGGGCTGGAGCACCTCTCCTACAATGAAAGGCTGCGGGAGCTGGGCCAGTTCAGCCCGGAGAAGACTGCGGGGAGACCTCGCTGTGGCCTTTCATTGCAACACCTGCCCTGGTGTTGCAGCCTGCCTGCAGCAGGGGTCGGAGCGAGGTGAGCTTTGGGATCCCTCGCAACCCAACTGTTCTATGCCTTTCCCAGGCTAAAAGCTGAACTTGTTTCAAAATGCCCACAAATTCAGGAAAGCAGCACAACAGCAGCCTGTCTCAGGCACTGCCAACACGTCACCCTCACCACTGCCTAAGATGGCCTCCAGCAGCCCCAACCCACAGCACCCTGGCACTGCACCGGGTCAGAGCCTGCATGCAGAGCTCACAGCCGTACCCACAGCCCGCGCCATGAACAAACAGCTGTGCACTGGATTCAAATGTTTATGTTGATATTTATTACAGCATGGGGGGGGGGGGAGGGGGGGAGGGGGAGGGAAGGGAGAGAACCGTTTCATTCAAAAAAATCCATCCCATACCAATGAAGACAATAATTTAGCTATTCATTTTTAAAATACATTAAAACCGGTCCTTTCATTTCCTCGCGTCAGAACAAAAAGAAAAGGAAAGAAAAAAGGATGGAAAAGCGGAAAAAAAAGAAAGAAAAACGGACCCCTCGCGGAGCCCGCGGGCGTATCTGCGACGCAACGGATCTTCATTCGGTCGTTCCTAGCGTTACCTTGAGAGCAGTAACCTGACTGTAAGGATGAGTGCCCCCGCCCACCCCTCCCTACCCCTACAGGGAAAACACAATGAATGCCTAGGAAAAAGAAGGCAAACATTTAAAAAAATTCGTATTACACACTAAAAAAAGTTCTGTCGTCATCTCATGTCTCGCAGTCAGAATAATAAAAACAAGCCAAATGTTCCCAAAAACATTTCAATGAAGGGGTGCGGAAAAAAGACATCCCTTTAATAAAACATTATCAACAAATATCGTACACAAACTACAATGTATAATAATTACTTTTTTTTTTTTTCTTTTTTTTTTTCTTTTTTTTTTTTTTTTTTCCCCTCTCGGTATTTTAGAACCAGACTACAAGGTAAGAAAAAACACTGAAACAAGATACAATGCTTTCAATAATCCGCACAAGGGTCAATCCAGGGAGATAATATTTTACAGAGTATGATATACACGGAGCAGAAATGGAGATTGAGAAAAACGAAGAGCAGTGCAGGGGGTGCCGAGCGGCCCCCCACCCCTCCCAGCGCGGGGCCCCTTCCTGCTGCGTCCTTATGACAGAGCACAGAGTAGCAAGGATACATCGCAACAACAGTCACTGCTTAGAAAAGATCTCCATCCAGTTCCAGCTCACAGAGAAGTGAAACCCCGACAAGAGCACATCTTTAAAGGAATAACAAAGCAAAAAAGACAAAGCAAAAAAAAAAAAAGCCCCAAAAGAGCCGAGGTTGGCTGAGATCACAGCTTCAAAGTCCCAGGGCGGAGCAGCCCTTTGGTTCTCCTTTCTTTCGGTGGATTTAACAAGTCAAATCGGCGTTGGTGGCGAACCAGCTCGAGGAAGGGAGGGACAGAGTTCTTGGCGTACTCCGGGGGGGGGACAGACTAACACAGTGCATGCCACAGCCACGGGGAGGGAGATCACAGCGAACCCAGGATGTGATCCTACGGGGGCCACCCGTGTGAGCGCCTCTGTCACGAGGTGGTGGAGTCTCTTCATCTTGTTACTGGAGGAGGAAGCGTTGTGCTGCGAATGAACACAAATAGAACCCAAAACAAAAAGGAAAAAAAAAAAACCAACAACCGACCAACAAAACCGAAGCAAAAAAAAACCAAAAAACCAACAAAAACCAATCAGGCCTTCCAAACGAAAACCACCATTGTAAACTGTCCAGTTTATTTAAAAAATGACTACAACAGAGACAACATGAGATTTCATATCTAGACTAGCTTCCTGGTGTCGCACGGCACAAACATACAACGGGGTTCTGTTTCTGTCTTTATTTAAAAGAACAAAGCAAAGAGATCGGAGTTGGGTGCTAGAGGCTTCCATTTGTTTCCAAAAAGAAGTGTCATGTACATATATAAACCCTTCTGCACAAAGAAGGATCTTGTCATCATGTCTTGAAATATTTTAAGTTTTGTCCTTCATGTTTTATGGAATAAAAAGTTCAGCCTTTTTATTGCATGAAACTAAACCTGGGGTGCTGGCCCCGCCACGCGTCTCCCTGCCCATACACCTAGCTTCTTCTTGCATAATTCTTTGAGATCCTCCGAACGGCAGCTGACTCTCTTGATCCTGGAGAGGAGGAGGGGGAGGGAAA